CAACTGAAGGACACAACATGAAAACCTCCGAAGAAGACATAAGAACAACTTCCTTTTTCACTAGATGTAAACAATAATGGACAAATGTCAGATTTTAGTGGTTGTAGGATTTCTCTTTTGTCTTTGGCAAAAGACCACCAGCCATTTCTCCCTCTGGTATTAGGAGACTAACCACACTCCTCGTCTTCCGGTCATCCGTTTGTTTTGGATGCATTTGCCCAGAACGCCTTGTGCTACAGTCACTTCCTGCTTTTGGAGTGGTCTCCGGTCAGTGTGGTTTTGGATACGATCCACGCCAGAGTTCACTTCAGCCAAACTGAGACCTTAGTTTGTAGGTGAACCAGAGTTCACTTTTTCGGTCCACATGAGAGTTTGATTAGGCATTCACACCTCCCCAAGCGAACCACACTTTCTTGGCAAAGGAAGTGGAGTTTGATTAAAGCGGACTAAACAGGGCTGGTGTGAATGCAGCTTAAGACTCCTAATATACATTATTTATAATTGGACCAGAGGAGATGTCACACTGTGTGTATGACAGAGTAGTCACTATAAGACATGGTTTAACTAACACTTCAAAACAAAAAGCTCTTTCACAAAACATTCATTCGGACTACAAATTCCATTTGTAGTCGGAACATGGAAATCCCGACTTCCAAGTCGGGAAAATCAACTGGAATGCCTCACCCTAGTGGGTTCTGTGCAGCTTGATTATTACTACTGTTCATGCCGTAACGCTGTTACCCAGCGGTACCAGGGTACGGTTGGAACAATAAAGGCTTTCCGACTCTTAACGAATGGAACAACTGGAATGCAGTGAAGTGGAAAGTTCCTCCGACTTCCCAGTTACGAGTTACGTTTTAAAAAGGGTCGCACCATTTAGATGCCTAGTTGTCATTTCTGTAGGACCTGGGCGTTGAAGTCAACCCAGCGCTGTCACGCCTCTAAGGTGGTCACAGAAACACAAACCAAGTCTGCTTCTGGGTCAAGGATGTAATGGAAACTAACTGGGATCACTGCAGAGTGCACATACAGCATTCCTTGTCACTAGCAAACTTTAGCTGAGTCATGGTGAAGTGTACTAAAACCAAAAAGATCCCTGGATTTTAGCCAAGGGTATTTCTTTCTGTAGCAGTGATGCTTGAGAAGAGGATAAAACTGATAAGATGCCAGCTATGTGTTTACCCCTCCAGAGTGGGAGATGTTCAACACTCATTACAAGTGCAATGTTGAATATCAACTCTGCTGAGATCCTCTCCAAATCTCCTTTGGCTGGATTTTTGCGACATGACAAGTGCAATATATTGTCGTCTTGATTTGAATCTGAATGGCCAAAGGCAGCTCAGAGAGGGGCTCATCTTTGTGGACTGATGATGGAACTATTTGCGAAAAGGGCTTAAAAAATGGGATCTGTCTTATCTTATTTGTGATTAGCGCAGTTAGCTTGGCTTGGTTTACTGAAACAGTAGTCTCTCTGTGTGGATATTATACAGATTGTAGACTCTTAAATTAATAACTCAAACGGATTTAATAAGATGTCTACTGCTGTTAGTTAGGCCTTCCTGTTGTCTTCTAAAAGTCTCACTCTCTCTTGTTCTCTTGCAGCCTGATTGCACTGAAATTCTTCTACATGAAGTAAGAACAGTTTCCTTTTAAACATATTTGTACACGTTTTGTTCTATACTTTTAAACGCTCACAGAAACTATAAATTCACACCTTCACTCAATAACAACGTTCACACTGAAGAGTGTCTGTGTGATCTGGTACCACTTTTAATTAAGACTTGAGTTTTGAGTTAGTTCTTTTTTTTAATGCCAGTTTCTTGATGCGTTTCTTGACGATGAGGCTGGCGGTCTCATGTCTGATGGATCAAAACCTTTCTGATTTGAGGATCGCTGCTGAGTTCAGTTTTTTTTTCTTTTTTAATATCGCAGACTCCAACCCGCCTCCACCCCTCCATCTCTCTCTCCTCCACCTCCCCGTACTCAACAGCTAAGCTCCTACAAATGTGTTGAGGATGCATTTTCACCCAAACGCTTTCCCACCCCTTCCTCTACCCTCCCCGCCGTCCCACTCCTCCTCTGTCTTCCTCCTCCTCCTCCCTGCTCGCTCTTCTCTTTTTCTTCTCTTCTTTCTCCCTTGTCATTTGCACCCCCCACCCTGTCTTCCCTCCGTACTCAGCATTTTTCCCAACTGTGGGTGTGATGTCTCTGTGTAACGCTAATCAGCTCTGGAGACGTCAGCATTCTTTCAGTCCTCTACCAACAGCACCCCACTCCTCCTCTTCCTCATCTCTTCTTTTCTCCCCTCTGTCCTCATCTGCTCCCTCCCCCCCCACACACACACACCTTAATGTCTTTCCAGTCTTTCACCTGTTTTTTTCCCTCCTCCTTCCAGATTTTTCTTTTCTTGTCTATAAGCCATATTTTGCTCATCTCTAACACTTTTCACCTTTTCACCCATCCCCGCCTCTGGGTCCCATCCTCGGGGTGTGTGCGTGGGTGTGTGTGTGTGTGTGTGTGTGTCGTCTCTCCACTGTAACAGTAAGCAGCTCTACTCTTGAGTTGTCAGCGTTCTTTAAGTTGCTCCATAAAAATACAGCCTGCCACAGCAAAAAGCCTGTCTGTTGTAGCAACAGCGGCTGTGGCATTGACCGCTCTGCAACGATCACCCCACAGCCATTATGGGAAGGACACCCCTAGACTGTGTGTGCAGGTGTGTGTGCATATATATTCACAATATATATTTGTGTGTGTGTGTTTTACCATTTCTCATTTCGTAAGACCCATTTCTCCAGAAAATACTACGATGTGAGGACCCACTGCTCCAAGAAGGAGTGCTGCTTTTGGGCTAGTTGTTAGGTTTAGGACTGAGATGTGAACTGGGTTTAGGTTTAGGGATGTACTGGTAATGATTAGGTTCAGGGTCAGGGTTAGGATTAGGCTGCAGAAATGAATCAAAATGAGTGGAAGTCAATGAAAAGTCCTTGTGAGGATAGAAAGATATAATGTGTGTTTGTGCACTGATCCGTACAATTAATGGCGTTGTGCCTTTACTCTACACGTAATCGTTAACCTGGGTTACTTCCATGTGGTCTAAAGGTCTGAACGTTTCTGGAAGTTGTATGCAGTAGTTTAGTAGTGTGAATTTGAACACATTTTTTTTTCTTAAGACAGTTTTATTGTGTTTTTTTTAAATGGAAATAGTAAAAAGCTAAAGTGTTATTACCTTCATAATACCATTGGCGAGTCACATTTGCATAAAATACCCACAGTTGATTTAGATAATAGTTGTTATGATGCTGAAACATGCAGTGAATGATGTCAGCATCTTTTAATCATTGCAATACGGTTTCATACTTCAGATTTTCTTAATATCACGCAGCTCTAATTAACTATAGACTGCAGCAGAATTACATATTAATTATTCAACTATATCACTTCATATGCTTTTTTTAATTATTTATCTTTAGGAATAGCAAATTTTACATTTTAGTTTACTGAGAAAATATGCTGAACTTTTATTGTGTCCTAAGCCAAGTTTCATTTAACAAAACAGGTGGCACTTTTGGACAACTCGGTTGTTTTATTTTTGTTTCACAGACTGATGACTGGCCAAATAATCATTTTGTGGATTTTAAGATATAACCATTTGTTGGGAGACAGAAATGAGACAAAATGCTGCAGCACAACAATCAAAGATCAGGATGCAGACCGTTGAAAATAAATATTTATTTATAGTAAATAAAAAGACATGTTACCTTTTTTTCCACTGGCTTTAAATCAGGCTAAACCTTTCATGGTTTAAATAAATAAGGATTACTAAAATTATTTTTATTTTCAAAATGTCAGAACAAAGAGAGACAATGTATTATTAGTAATTATTATTATTATTATTATTATTAGTAGTAGTAGTAGTAGTAGTATTGTTCATCGTATTAGAAGTGGTATTTCTCCGAAGTCTACATACATTATGATAACTGCAACTTAGAAAAGCTCAGATGATGATGTCATTGCTTTGTGAGCTTCTGATTGGCTAATTCACAACATTTGCAGTCATTGGCTGACCTCTGGCTGATCTACAGGAAGCTGACCTGGAACAGGAAAGATTTAGTCTGATTTAATTATTTTTTAAATTTGCTGATCACTGGCTTCAACATATAAATGAAGTAATGAATTGTTGCTAAAGTAAAATCCTAATGTGTTTTTACCGATTGAAGTCAGTTCCAGTTGCTGTTTTAGCATTTGGTGAGCTTGATAATTAGGCATGCACCGATAAACCGGCCACGCTCCGATTTCCTTAATTTTGGGAGATCGGTGATCGGCCGATACTTAGATGTGAATCCTGTCATATCCACTGATCTTATCTACCTGGCCAAAGGTCTAAATATCAGCCTCTGCCCTCTTCTGCTCTGCAGTGAGAGGTTTGACTGGCAGACCGGCTCACCAGGTCATATCTGCATATTTGCTGTTAACAATAGCCACCCCACTTTTGCCAACTCAGCAACTTTCCTGCTATATTTAGCAACATTTCCGGAAAAAAAATAAATAAATAAAAATTTGGACCAAAATGGGAATCAGGAGGTCAAACCACATAATACAACTGCTGCTGTAAAATAGCCTTCTTAATATGAATAAGAACTACTGAGTGACCACAGATGGAAACACTTAAAACTGTTAAATGTTTATACGTCATTATTGCACAGTTTACAATATTTCAACCTCTACTTCTGCTGATTTTTACCATAAGGTCCAACAACCTAACATCTTACAAACACAACAGCTGTGAACGTTGCGATCAACAAATATCTGCCTGAGAGTGTTGGCCTGCAATTATTTAAAAAGCCGAGTAGATGTAAAAATATTAATTGCTACTTTTTTGTATTTAAATTTATTTCAATAATATATTTTTTTCCATTTCCAGGTGTGATTTTGGCCGACCACCCACTGCCTTTCAAACAAATTTCCTCTGTGCTCCTGAGCTGTTGGCAGGTGAAACGTTACAAACACACCTGTCTCCATTGTTCTGCATATTTAAGCTGTCTCGGTGTCTCCTCTTGTAATCGCTAACTCTATGATGTTGACACTCGGGCTCTGAGGGAACCGTGCCAGCTGCTTTTTGTTCTTCTTCCTGGCAGTGTTGTGTTAAGGCTGTGACAGCAGTATCTAGCTCCACAGTCGGCTCAGATCCGAGCAACAACACTCTGTTCTCACGTTAAAACATCCTTTTGAAAAGTAACTATAATTACTCCAGGGTGAGGCCTCGAACCTCTGACGTGTGCAGGAACTCAAAGTTTCTCCACATCTGTCGGCTTCTTCTCCAAAGAGCTAAAACGGCATGTTTGAGCGCTGCCGACCATTTTACATGTGTGTGCTTTATTAGACCCCGCTGGCATGGCGGCGGGATAATGTGCATGATCTTGGCAGCAGGCTTTTTGTTTCTGTGTCGATGGAGGGTGGGTGTTGGGTGTTCATGGGGGGAGAGTTCGACACAGGGGAAATAAACCAGCACTTGCCAGGAAATCGGCCTCCTTTTTAGCCCCCCCCCTCCCTGTCTTCTCTCACCGCCCCCACCACCGGCAGCCACCCTCAGCCTCCCTGCCTTTGATGCAGCTATTGTGCGAAGATGCACCTCCAGCTGCAGGAGCCTGCATCACAATAAAACTTCAGACTGCAGCAGCGCATGTGGAAGCCCTCCAGTTGTTGAGAACAGTCGCCACGTGCTACTTGAGTTATCCCGACTCGTTAAGAGGAAGCTTGCGTCGTTTCAAGATAAACAGAATAAAAGCGGGAGGACTGAATGAAACCTCCTACGGCGTTTGCTTTATTCCCACAACCTTAAACGTGTCAAGCAGTCGTAAACAGAATTTTTAAAATTGCTGCGCATTGACATATTTAGTGTGTGTGCGCTTAATGAGCTGCTACATTTTTTTTTCTTTGATCTGCAGCTATTTATAAATGTAGGATTTGTGGTACCCTCGCAGACAGACAGAGGTGCATTGTGGGGGAGGCGCACTGCCACACACTTGGCTCCGTGCCTTTTTGATACAAAAGAATAAAGATGTTGCAAGACATGTGGCCTCGTGTCATATAAACCCATCGCTTCCTCTGAAGGAGGAGCGTGTTTTTATTTGTTCACACTCGCAGCTTCGCTTGTTTATTTGATTGAATAATCTCTTACTTTCACTGTAAGCATGGCCCTGTGTGACATTCTCACTGTAGAGCTTTGATAAGAAACACACGAGCAAATAGTGCGGGAATAATACACAAGTACAAAGCTTTGTTTCAAAAACAAGTATTCAGAACCATCTTAAATTTTAATGAGCAGATTTTAGTTATTTACTTATTCACTTTTTCTTCTCTTATGGACTGATATGAGTTTTTAGTTGCAAGTAAAACATACCTATGTTTAATGTCCTTTACATTATGATGTTTTCTTGACTACTGATGCAAAAACAATGAACCGTTATCTATAATAATGTAATTGCTAATTTTATTTTTGATTGGTATATTTAGGAAGAAAATAAAACTCCTCTAAATTTAGTATTTTTAGTTTTCATGTAAATGTGCTGACTGCGCTGAATTTTCTACTGGTTGAATAGCTAGATATAATATAATCCTGGATATTGCAGGTATCCAACATTATATTAGCTGAGTAATTAGTCAGGCTCTCTGCTCAGGTAGCCAAGCAGCAGCCAGCTGCCTAACAGGATACTTTTTTTGTTGTTTTTTTGTGTGTGAGATTCTGTTATTATCAGTAGTGATTCCCTTTACCACATCATTTATGGAAAAGTGAATAAATCCTCAGAGCAGTTAATCAGATGGGCCTCCAGTTTTCTCTGATTTATGCCATTTAAAGTTGCTATAACCTGATTTATTGCTGCTGGAAGTGCAGTAGTTAGTGTTGTTTTCTAATTTGAACAACGTCGCTAAATTTAACGCCAACTGATCCCGATTCCAACTTCAAGACCTGAAAAAGTTTCAAGATCCTGCTGCAGAATCCCAATCTTTAACACAGATAGTTTACAAAACATCAATTTTTTATTTATTTATTTTTTGGTCAGCTTTTTTCACAATCTGTCCCAACTTGACTTTCTGGTGATAAAAACTGAGATAATAAAAAACCGTTTTGAAAAATCTGCAGATTTTTGAACAACATGACTTTGAAACCCTGTATTGACATGCCTAAACTGGAGAGCAATTTTAATGGATTGCTTCTGTCCGTTTCACGTCATTGACGCTGTTTCCACTAAGGATAGGAGCTGAACGAGTTAACGACTGGCTGGAAAGGCTAAACATCATGACACCTCTCCATTTCTGGTAAGGAAGCAGTTACTGAAAACGTCACTTAGAAAGACTTGCCACGCATAGCTGGGCAACTATAGCAATAAAACAACCTTATCGTAATAAAGGTGGCACTCCTTTGGTTTCCACAGCACTGCCGTTTTTTTTTGGTTTTTTTTTGCATGACTAAGGAAGTTTCCAAATCCATGAGCATTGTGCAGCAATAGGTGAGGGAGGGGCAGCGCTGCTTTACTTTAAACTCCAACTGCTGGAGAAAACTTGGTTCACCGCAGCACCTTCTCTGCGACTTTATTACGACAGTTTTAAACCTTTAGAGCGATATGACGTTACTTTTTTTTATCGTTCTGAAAACTTTGGTGTGCCTTGATAGCAGAGCGTCCTGCTAAAGCTTCGACAACAGGTGGCCTCCTGCGTCTGTTAAGCAGCTCATCGGATACAACTTGGCCGTCTTCCTGACTCTGCTCTCCCCCTGTAGCCTTTCCGTAGCTCGTCTGTTGGTTTGGCCCACTGGTCCGATTTAAAAAAAAAAAAAAAGGTGTTAAACAGTCATCAAAGCCGTGCAGGCGGGGGTGGACGCCACATAAAGTGTCAGAGGGGAGAGCAGAGCGTGGAGGCTGGGAGAGGGGATAAGGGGCAGGTTGGGTTGAGATCAGCAATCTGCTGAGTCATCATGACTGGTCTCATGATGATCTCGCAGCAGCAGCAACAATAGCCTCTCTTTATCTCAGGCACACACACCGAGGTCTGAGAGATGAGAGGAGGCCAGCACACACACAAAGCTCGTCATTGAGAGCCTGTGGAGACGCTCTTCGCTGGAGCACTGAGCTCCAAGGTCTGATCTCATCTGTTGCACTTCCACGCTCGCTCTTTGTTGACCTCTGATTCACACTTTGGGGACAAAAGCAAATATATTATTTCATCTGATGGGATTTTACTTCTTTTTTTTCCTTTTATAAATCCTTTTTTAAAAAGAAAATGGATGGATGGAAAATCCGCCATAGGTAGGGGAAGTGGCGTTGAGTGCCTTTCAAAAATATTCACAACCCATTGTATTTTTTTTTTCTTTCCCTCACAATTTTAGTGTACACTATTAGGGTTTTATTATGTGATGGATCAATACAAAGTGGTGTCTAATTTTGAAGTGGAAGTGGAAGGAAAACCATGCAGGATTTTCAAAAGCTTTCACAAATAAAAAAATCTGGAGAGCGTGGTATGAGTTTGTAGTTGTGATTTTATCTCGGTATTCATCCACCTGGTCCACGGAATCTGCAGGTTTCAGCAAGTCATATCTCAGACTTTATATGACCTTTTTAATGTCACCTTGAATTAAATTTAAGACCGAAAAGATTATATTTAAAAGGGAAGGTACAATGAAGCGGATCATCCAGAAAAGCTCCCTGGATGAGGATGTTTGATAACCACTAAAAGGACAATGATGAAAACCTATTTGGGCTCCAAAAGACTTCAGATTGGGATGGAAGTTCATCTTCCAGCGGAACAACAACCCGAAACACGCAGCTAGAGCTACCCTGCTATTTTCATGAGTTGGAGCGGCCCAGTCAAAGTCCAGGCCTATGTCCGATTGAGAAAATATGGGACAATTTGAAAATCTACGTTCACATATGCTCTCCGTCCAGTCTGACTGAGCTTGAGCTGTTTAACAAAGAAAAATGAGCAAACATTTCAGTTTCAAACCCTCAGGGCTCAATACAGAGCTGCAACATTTTTTTAGAGGGGCCGTCGGGTTTGTTGTTAAAGAAAAAGTTTAAAATCATGCCTCTTTAACAGCCGGTTGCTCAATTATCCACCAAGTTGTGTTACTCCACCAAATAAAGTCCCGGTTAAAAACATTACGTTTTGTTGTTAAACGCGATAAAGTTTGAGCCGTTTGAACGCTTCTCTGCGCCGCTCTCCTTATCTTTCGAGATGGTCTGTCTTTATATTTAAACAGGACTGTAACAGTTAGCTTCCCTCTGGAGTCCTTCCTACAAACTTCACCACTTCCTCTTGTTTCTTGCTCGTTTCATCGCTATTGGCCTCCAGCCAGCCAATGAGAGTTTGAGAGTACAAAGGTAGTGGGCACTGTGAGTGAAACCACAAGGAAACAGGAAGTCAGGGAAATTCTAAGAAGCGTTTGTCACTTTCACTCATGCAGTCTTATACAGATGCAAAAAGTCTGTGCCATGCTCCCACAACGGGGCCAGAATGCTCGGTTCTGCTTAATATCTCCTTTTTCTCTGGTGGGTATTAATCTGTGATAAATATTGAGTCCATCGGGGGTGGGGGATTTTTGTTTTTGGTAAAATGTGGTTTCTTTTGTTTTACGCTTCTTACGCTTTATGCTCTCCTGTGTTCTCCAAAGGTTTGCGCAGAAGAGCAAGGCTCTTGTGGCATGACGACGACTAACAAAGGAAATAAAGCCTTAAAGGTAAACGAAAGTAATGTTTTCATGTGTTTCCCACCCAATTCTCAGCGTTGCGCTAGGTTCGATCTGGTGTTTCACTCCCCTCGTGTTTCCTCCAGGTGAAGCGTGAGCCGGGCGAAAATGGCACCAGCCTCACGGACGAGGAGCTGGTGACCATGTCTGTGCGGGAGCTGAACCAGCACCTCCGGGGGCTCTCCAAGGAGGAGATCCTGCAGCTCAAACAGAGGAGACGCACCCTGAAGAACCGAGGCTACGCCGCCAGCTGCCGGGTCAAGCGGGTCACCCAGAAGGAGGAGCTGGAGAAGCAGAAGGCGCAGCTGCAGCAGGAGGTGGACAAACTGGCCAACGAGAACGCGTCCATGCGCATCGAGCTGGACGCCCTGAGGTCCAAGTACGAGGCCTTGCAGACCTTCGCCAGGACTGTGGCGCGGAGCCCCACCGTCGGGGTCGGGGTGAGGGCCGGGGGCGGCGGGGGCGGAGGGGTCCCGTCGTCGGTCATCGGCCCGCTCATACCGGGGAAGGTGGCGACGGCGACGAGCGTCATCACGATAGTCAAGTCAAAGACGGACGCGCGGTCTTGAGGGGAAGAAGGCTGAAGGGAGGGTGTGACAGGATGGAGCTCCAGCCGCATCAGAGTAAGCCTCCCTCTCTGTCGCCCCCCTCTCCTGCACCTGCACCGACTCCCAGCAGCTGGGCGGCACCACCCGGACCACCCCGACCTGTTCCCATCGTCCGTCTCAGATCAGTGCAGATGAAGGACAGGATGGAGGCAGAGGACGGTTTATTGGCTCACAAAGAAGCTTCCAGTCAGAGAACTGGATGAACACACACAGGGTCCCTTTGGCTAAAATGTGGATTACGAATGTCAGAGAATTGGAGAACTTGATCTAGAGTCACGTATTTAAATCTGAGAGTCATCATTTTGGAAAAACACTAGAATTGCGTTTGATTCATGCCAATTTTCTAGTGTTGAGTTTATATAAAAAGGTTGAAATCTGAAACAGAGATGCACCTATCAGGCTTTTCCTAGCAATATGATTTCTGCTTTTGAAAGATTGCGATTTTTTTTTTTTTTTGCTGCAGGTTCATTGATAGACTTTTTTGACCCAAATTAAAATCAAACTATTAAAAATTACCCCTATTTATGCATCACAGCATGTGTTGCTAGACTATATCTGATTATTAAAACCCCCTGAAAGACTGTCAAACTCATGCAAGTAATTGAAAATAGTTGGAGTTGATAGATTTGATGCATTTAAAAAAAATAGAGACGAAAATCTGCGTTTTCGGTATCTAACCTGCAGATTTCAAATCAGAGCCAATCAAGTGATAAATTGGCCAATTCAGATCTCTAACCATGTTGGTTTGGTGCATCTTTCATTAAAAATTAGGTACATCAATTGAAAACCCCAAGCTGTACATCAGCTATGTCTAAGAATAATGATATAAAATAAAAAAAGTGACGTGCTGATTTCAGTGACCGCACCGAAGCCCAGTCTTGTTTCACCCGAGAACTTTTGCAGAAAAGTACTAATGGAAAAACCTATAATATACGATGGTGGTAACTGTATTTCTACTGTTTTGTAGCGTGTTGTCATTCACATGAGGTCCAAGGTGTATTCTCTGTGTGTGAAATGTTATATATCAGGAATTCTGTGAAATTCTGTGGCGAGTGTTTGTTCTGGTATCGCTATGTTTAGTTAGCTGTGTTCTTTTCTATGGTCTTTCACTCTTTCTCCCTCCTGTTTTCCTTTCTCAAGAGCAAGTGGCTTCCAGTATTACATATTGTACTTCCAAGATTTGTCAGTAGGAGGAGGACGCTGCAAAGCAATTCATACTTAACAAAAAATAGGAAGAGACAAATGCACAATATCCTGTTGGGGGAAAAAATGAAAATAACTTTGGTTTGTGAGAGTTTCTAGAAAAATATGTTTAATACGGAAAAAAGATCAGAAGGGCAAGTACCTTGGTCTTATAACGATGTGCACCAAGAAGAAAGTCGAGAGGAACTGAGGGAGGATGCTGAGGATTCAATGCAGATGTAAAGCTTAATGGCATATATGCTGACCAATCAGGAATCAGACAGTATTTACAGGTCAGGACGCATCTATTGGCACTCCTGGTAAAAATGTGTAAAGAAAAAAATGTTCACATTTTTGTTGAAGTAGCATAATCTCAATCTTATAAGAATTAGTGAGAAGGGATAAAACTCAACGAGATGGTCCAGTCTTTAATTCCCCCCCACCCCCCTGGGTGTGGGGAATTTTAACTTGAAATTCAAACATTTCTGTTTTTTGGGGGGTATAAATATGATGTGACAGAGATCCATTTCTATTAGTTGCCATCACATGCAATAAATCTTTCAAGTTTAAGGTTTACTCTTAAAGAAGTGCATCAAGAGTGGCATCATTGGGTCACCAAGTAACCATGGCAACCATTGGACACTATCTACATCTACATGTGGAGTTTATTGAGCCCAACTGGGAGTTTAACTGGAACCACTTGGGAAGCTTAAAGTGACATTGATTGTAATTGTTTGAAGAGAAAACTAGGAGAAAACTTTGTTGTACAAAATATCAACAGCAGGGTTGGGTGTTCAAAACAATTATTTATTTACAGTTTGTTTTTTTGTTTGTTTTTTTCCTGAACTGGATGAATGCTCTCAAATTACAAGTAGGATTTTTTTTCCCCCAGTAAGAGATTATTCTGCTGCAACAAAAATGTAGTTTATTTGAATGCCTTTCCTCAGATTTAGATTCATTTATTTAAAATTTGCACATTAATAAATACACCCAAAAACTAATTTCCGTCGGCTCATAGTAAGTTGATGTCGACACATAATAATCTGCTGACACGTCTTTACCAGGAACACCAATAATTGTGGCTGGCACTTTGGTTTGCAATGCGCTGTTTGAGCTCTGTTGTCATCATCAGAATAAGACTCATTAATGCGACTGTCGGGGCAATTAAAAACAGGTTTACTCCTATTTAATTCTCACCAGGATGGGTCAGATCTGAGGAGGACAGCTGACTTGTTGAATGAGCTTTTTTTGTTTTGTTTTGTTTTGTTTTCTTCCAGTCAGTCAAGCAGGTTGATATTTGTTGTTTTTTTTCTCCCAGGCTTTTACCACAAACGTAGTCCTCCGTGGTGTTCTGTACTCAAAGAGTCTATGTATAGTGGAGTCTGTAATTTTATAAAGACAATTATCTTTGCATTGTTTGTAACGACTTGTAAAAAAAAAAAAAAAGAAGGAAAAACAAACAAAAAAAAAGGTATCACAAAATCCGTTTGATATACAGTAATCTCTCTATTTTGCAATTGTACCAAAAGTGGCTTAACTACTGAATAGCTTTGTTTATTTTTCCTCTAGTGATTAGGCACGTGTGTGTAACGGTGGACTAGCGTGTGGCGTGCTGTGTAGGTATGTAACGAGGTGACTACTAGCTACTTCCTTGGTTATGATTTTTAAGATTTCAGCCCAAACGTGGACGATGACGTCGTGTGTACCTGCACTCTTTCTCTCTGATCGTGTACTCTTGGCCCCGCCGCCGTTCGGCTCCCACGCCACAGAACCTGCGAGGTCGTTTGTTGAACTGCACTTACAAACAGTGAATTTGAACAAGTTCGCTTGTTTGACAGATTTCCAAGCAAGGCAGCTGTGGCTGTTTTTGTTTTTGGGCCAGTTGCTATGTTGAGGTCCTGTTGCTTCTGGGATGAAAATACAGAAGCTAGCAAAGTTAAGCTAGCAGAAAAGTGAAACTTGGTGATAGGGTCTCTCGTCAAACTCACTCCTTCAGTAAGTTATTTTTGTACTGTGTGAATAAGGCACTCTGTTTTTCTCTGTATATTTTATGTATATTTAATGTTGTTCTTGTCTTAGCTTTTGAAGATCTTCTGGAAGTGTCAGGGAAGTTAAATGATATTTGTAAGTGTGTATGGTGTTTTTTAAAGTAAAAAAAAAAAACTATATACTGCTATTTAATAGTTTGTCTGTCAGGGTGAGGTTGACCTTTTTAACCTGGTTTTAAAGATTTCTTTCAATGTTATGCAAACTACTTACTGAGTTTTAAACCATCAGGCTTCAATGGCCAAATCCAATTTCCAATATTTTTGTGTTCCTACTGGCTAATTGTAAGCTGTTGTTTTGCTTTGATTTGTTTTGTCAGGACTGCCAAGTATAAAGACTCAAATGGGTTTATAGAGAAAAAAGGAAAATTTAAGGGATTTATAGATTATTCTCATTTATTATTCATACAATTTGTCCCTAACCTTTCTCTGATGATTGCTAAACCCAAAAAGTGCATCAAGTGTCTCAAGCAATTCCACTCTGATATTATAATGAAATGAAAACAACTTGAAGATTATAACCGGTTCTAAATATTAGACATGCACCCATCAGGCTTTAGTTTCACATTTTTGTTGAAAAATTTGAGGAGATTTTGTCTCTCTGTGTGTGTGTTTTTTGTTTGTTTGTTTGTTTTTGTTGATTTGGAGGGATTTTTTTGAACTGCAGCATTGAGTTCACAGAAAACAAAAGGGTTAGTCATTCACCAAAGCATATGTCCCCAACTCTTATCAAAAAAGGAATCAGAAAACCTCCGAAAAGGTGGGGATTTCTAAGTGTTGATGCATTCAACAAAACAGGAAAAACTATTTTCTCCCATTTTTTTAACAACCAAACAACAGAGTGAAGGAGAAACCGACTGACTGATTGGTGCGTCTTTAACAATGATGCGTCCTTTTGCCTGAACTGCTACGACTCCCTCCAGAAAGGTTAGCGAGCATGCCACCACCTTTAAGAATATATTATAAATTTCATTTAAACGGTGAGCAAAAACGAAACAGTTTCTACAGGGTTTTAACAGTTTTTAACAATTTACTCTGTGCCAAAACGGCTCCAGATTTTGTTGAATTTAAACTCTAACCTATCCAGAGGAATAGCGCTACATCCAGATTTCAACATCACGCTTGAATTTTCATTGAAAAAAAAAAATCACTTTAATGTATCAGCTAAATCAGTGAGAACCTATTTTCTGTCTGATCTATTCTGTTGTTTTTCTGTTAAACTTAGAGATTTCTGTTTTCCACTGGAGAGTTTACTGCTGTTTGTGCCTCTGTCAACCTGCGTTTCATCGTCGGCTTGTGAAGGATCCGGTCTGTACAAGCATGAATGTGTTAAACCGAAACTTATTATGCAAATGGCGTAGGGTAAAATTAAAACTCCTGCCTCAGAGGAGGAGTGATGCTATCATGCCTGTGTTTTTTTTTTTTTTTTTTGTTTTGGGTTTTTTTTTTTTTTTTTTGTCTCATTGTTTGTTTTATAATTGCAGGTGCAATGTGATGTGACGAGGTTAAAAAGCATTTTGTAAGTGATAATGAAAACCGATGTGGGTTTGTCTTTGTTTAATTGCGCCTCAGAGTGTTCTGGCGTCTTCTCAGTTTTTCCTCAAAGTTAACTGTGACATTTGCGACGATAAAATCTCTTTTAATTTCTTTCCAAATGAGAGGATGACATATAAAATAAGCTTTGACACGTGGCTCCCTTCACATCTATTGGCACCACTGGTAAGAAATATGTGAAAGGAAAAACAACAATGATCTAATCTCATTTTTAAAAATCCAATCCGATCTGACTACCTTAATTAAAGGAATCACTGACTTCCTGTTACCTTGGGTCATAAACATGAGATGATTTTTCTTATCCATGCTTCAAAACGGGAAAGACAAGAAAACATGCCATTTAAAAAGGGAAGACACGTCTATAAGTCAGAAAATGGTTAATAGAAAAGGGCTATCCATTCAAGTCTACAGTCAGAGAATACATTTTCAGGGCTGTGAAAAAGTATTTGCACCCAATTGAACTAGCCACATACATGGCCGATTACTGCCGGACTTGTAAAAGCAGAAAAACGCTTAACTAAACTGATCTCAAGATCTCAAAAAGAAGCATATCATACCCCGAAATAAAACAGAAAACTTAAAGACCAGATTTGAAACAAAGTCTTTGACGTCTCTCTGTCTGGAAAGCTTCATAAAACCCGAAAACAACAACAACAACAAAAAAAACACAGCAGCAAGTCCACCTCTGATCAGTTCAAAAACAAACCAAGTCAATGTTTTGAAGTGGCCTAGTCAAAGTCCAGTCTTAAGTCATTGAGATGCTGTTGGTCAACCGAGACCGTTCATGCTTACATCGAGCACGACACAACCTCTTGTCAGCTTGAGAGTGTAATTTTTTTTTTTTTTTGCAAACTTGCTTACGTAGCCCAGGTTGTTTTGTTTGATTACATTTATTTTATGATCTGAAACATTTGATCCAAACCCAAATAAATCAATCAGGGAGTCACTGAAACATAAATGGTCCCCAGAAATCACTAACATTACATCGTATAATACGGCTTTTTACACACATTTACCAAGGGTGCCAATAATTGCACTGGAGCTTCTCTTGGGGAAGATGAAACTCATCATCTTCCAGATGTGGATTTCTTGTGAATCAGTTGTGTGGGCCTCTTTGGCCAATGTTGTCAAACATTACAGAGGTTTAATCCTGATTCCCCCTCCAACGGACTCGGTCAGCTGACCGCGCCGACCTTCAGCCGTACGAGCAGAGCAGGCGGCGCGGTTTCTTTCCGTGACGCCGTTTACGAGCCGAGAGACACGGCAGGCTTGTTTTCCGCTGCATGTACAGAGGTCACAACCTCCTTACGATAAGGCATTTCATCACTAACCAGAGAAACCGCTCATACTTGAACCCATAAATAATTTACAGAGGCTGAAAAGAGGCGGTGGAGACACATCTGATAACGCTCCTAACCGCCTCGCTCGCTCTGTCCTCCTTTCACAGAAGGCAGCGCGAGTCAAACCGGTGGCCCACCGAGCCCTTCCTCAAAACATCCATTTCTTCTGGAATCATTAACTCCTTATCTCGCTGCTCGGCCAATCGGCGAGCACTCGTTCAGATGTTTTTTCCTGCCTACTGAATCACGCCACTGGACTCTAAAAGCCCTTTCACCCACCGCAAAATCCAGATCGATAAAAGTAAATGAGCCGAGGATTCCTTTGATCGTTTGTTTGGCTTTCTCATCAATAGCCATGTTTGTTTAGCCTCCTGACTTACCTCATCTGCTGCTGTCTTCCTCCCCGCAGCCCCACATCACCACTTGTACAATGTACAACCAAAACTACTTCTTCTTCTTTTCTTTTTTTTTTTTTTAGCACATTCACTTATTTTAGCCTTGATGTCAGCTTCTTTTCCTATTAATCACCCATCTATGGTTAAGCGAGGTTGCTCATTGGAGCCGGGATGTTTCAATGTCTCCAAAAGTATACGGTGGTTTGTTTAAAGCTATACAGAAGTAGTGAGTTTGTGTGAATATGGCGTAATGTATTCAGAAAAGCCCTTGTGATGAGAAGCTCTGTGTTTTGTAATATTTCTGTATGGGGTGTAATAAATTATTCTGCGGTACAAACGGTACTTTCTATGGGAAAAAAAAAACCTTCAAATGTGACGGTCTTTGTAAGTATTTATCTCCAACTAAATTATTGTACTTTTTTTTTTCTCTTTGCAATTTGTAGATAGATATGATGACAAGGTATTGGTAATAATGAAAGTGAACTGTTTCATCATCAGTCCGACGCATCTTATTGATGTATATACTGTACGTTTGTTGATAAACAGCTTACTTTATTTTGTATATGACCAATAAACATGTTTTAAAATGCATTAAGGTGTTTGTGTCCTGCAGATATCCACAACATGGAGTCCGTTGTGGAAGTAGTGCATAACGAGGGGGGAAATGGAAAACAAATCCGGTATGATTTTCACAATCTTTCTAAAAATGCAAACCTGAAAAATGAATCAATGCTTTTGTAGAACGAAATTTTTTTGCGGTATTTACAGCTGCAAGGCTTTGGACCTCGCAGCTGCAAGGTCCAAAGCCTGCTTTAGAAACTAGATCAAGTTCAGTCAGATTATAAAGGAAGCATCTGTGAACAACTCAAATCTCAATCAGGTTTAGTTCTGGTCTTTGATTAGGTCATTGTAGCATATCTATATGTTTTAATCTGAATTGTTCTATTATAGCTGTCGCCGCCTTTTTAGGACCATTGTTCTGGCACCATGTCAAGTGTTGTGTTGCTCCTAAATAATGCTGTCGGAGGAAAGGGGGCTGAATTCTGAATTCGTCACAGTTTTATTTGTAAATAAATATGAAACTCATACATGCAGCTGCATGGTGACAGCTGGTAGATCTGTTTCCTTTATAGGGGCAGGATTGTGTATTTTTTTTTTTTTTTTTTTTGATATTTCACTTTGTAGTTAAATGCCTTGAAATTTCTCTGGGTTCTCCCTCAGTCCAAAAACATGACTGTTGGCCAAACTGCTCACTGTAAGGATCTGTAAACGTCTCACTTTATTATGAGACATAAGTTATGGAAATCTTTCTTGCAGCAGGGTGGATAAAAACTTAAAATAATGCACAAAACACAGACACTATCAGACAACACCACATTCACAAAACAGTCAAAAAAAATGTTTGTGAAATATCAGTATAAATAAAAACAACAGACTAAATATCAAATATCACCCCCAATAACATTTAAAATGTATCTTGTCTTTGTGCAGTAGTGGTCTGACTAATACTACTTAGTACTTAGCACTAAGTTGCTACTATTACCTATGTTGGAGTGGCGACCCAATGGCTGCTGATGATAGGGATCAGCCTTCTGTTGACGCTACATGGATGGGTGGAAACAGATGATGAAAGGATGCATCCTTTCTAGTTTACTTCATAATTAAGCACTACTTTATGTTGGGATTTTTCACATTAGATCCAGACAAAATTCATTGAAGTGTTTAACAAAATGTTTAAAAAGTCCAACAGTATACCTGCTTTTGCAAACAAATTACAATATCGGTAAATTACTAATTTTGTAAGCAGTTGGTGTGTCTCAAATCAGTGATGTTACGAGGAGAGCAACAATTGCAGGCAGTTGCAGGACAAGTGGATAACACCCGACCAGATTCACTGTTGGGGTTTTCACAAGGATAGGTGCAATTACTCAAAGTAACCCTTCAGCCCAATGCGTGCCTACAATGTGGCTCCTATCAAACTCTGTCAGGTGCTCATAGTGCGGTGCAATGCATCTACAAGGCATCTGTTTTTGTCCAGTGACCTTCACTCACTGTCTTGGCTGAGCCTCTGACACCAGCAACTATCTGTTACACCAGTGATCCACTCATGTTGCCAGCACTTATGCCCCCTGGTGACCAATCCAGACATGCCAGCTTCTTGAAATTGATGGCACCTATTACGGGTCTGCACATGTACAAGGTTATATCCCAGAAAGACTTGATAAGTATAACTAGATATTTTTTGTTCCTTGCTTTATTTTTTCCCCCAGCCATCTTGTTTTTAACTAACATTTAAAAGCAAATATTCTCCAAACATTTGATTTTTCTGCTGATTAGACAAACTAGAACATTAAAACGACCATGGCAGTCATTTTGACCGCTATGCTATGCTAGTCCATGATTTTCCTAAAACTGTGTAAATTCTAATAAAAAATCCTATTTAGTGTGTAAAAAAATAAATTAAATACAATATTTTCTACCCATGTAGGACACAGGGAATTTTGCTAGTCTATTTCAATTTTCAGTAGATGAAAACAGAAGGACTACAAGCGGGAAAGTTGACAGCTGTCTGTCAAAGGTTATCTCTACTCTCCCTTGTCGTTTAAAAACACATATTTCAACTTAAGAATATAGAAATGAAGACAGAAACTGAGATATTAAAGTATTTTTGTTAGATTTCTTATAATTGGCAAAAAAAAAGGTAAATTACAAGTCGCTTGTCATTTAATACAAGCAGCTTTTGTGTATATGCTACAACACCATTTGATGATGTTGTTTGATGAAATCTTAATGAATAATTAAACTTTGCTTATTAAACTAAAACAGTCTATATTGCTGTCATTTTCTTTGGAAAAACATTGGTTAGTTATAGCTAAATTAAGCATCATTATACACTTACAAGATTAATTAATTGAGGTTTAAACGAGCTATTCAGGTGGTTACAGTAGAGTGGCCACGCCAGAGTTACACGGAAATTCTTGTTAAAACCATTAAAATATTGCAGAGTCACAATTCAGAAGATTGACAACATAGTAATGTTGCACTGCTGTTTCCTTTCGGTAATCGCACAACAAAACCTGTTTCTCCTGCTGTAATGAGTCAGACAGTCAGTAACACCATGATGAGGCAAAGTGTCTTTAAAATCTTCACTGAGGCTTTCTAAAACGCTTTCACAATTTATTTATTTTTTATCTCAACTCAATGTGGTTTGTAGATTTTAATACTGTGAGTAATTTAAAAGATAAGATTTGTTGCAATATTTCAATTTAGAGAATAGTTTTCTTCTGGCTTTTGAATATCTGACATTAAAAACGTAACACGGCCTGACCAGAAATCCATCTTTTGCTGTTCAGAATTGGAAGTTTCACAGTTTAGAATAACTTGAATGCTAGGCAATCGAGCCTATAGCAGGGAGTACATTAAGATCAGGTTCTCCAACTTGGCAGGTTAACAGTATATCCTCTTCTGTTTTCTGAAACGTTTTCATGCTTTATTTATTTTGAGCCGCCCCTTGCTTTGGATGGTTGACCCCAGCAGCTGCAGTTCTTGCATGAACGGTAAACCGAATGAACCCCTTCTGCTGCCCCACAGATGGATGCATGGACACTCAGGGAGAGTTTCATGAATCGCAAATTATGGCTTAAAGCATGACATTAATGTAAAATGTGTCACTGTTTGTTTGTGTTCTCACATTAGGTGGCCATAATGCATGAAAAATATTAATTATTTTGTGCACTTTATATTTAACTGCAAAGTTTTGTGACTCTGAGCTGTGTTTAAAAGAAGGTCTGAGAGAAATCCAGTTGTTTTTAAAACTGCCTGAAAACTTTTAATTTAGTGAGAATCACAGGAGGAACAACTTTTGTATTTCACCTTTATCTAACCAAGAAAAACTCACTGCGGTGAAAAGAATCTGTCATAA